TAACTCCTAAATGTCTGTCCAGAATAAAAATCATAATCTATAGAATTTTTAAAGAGAGAAAAACTTCTGATTCATTTTCATAAAACTTACATGAAAATGTAATTGAGAATATCAACTTGTAAGAAATCAAAAATTAAAGAAAATAGATATTTAATTTATAGATAATTTTTGTTGATATAAAAAAAAAAGCACATCAGAATATTATCTACTTTGTTAATTTAATTTTTAGTTACTAACAAAATTATACTGATTAAGACTACTCTTTTACAGTTATGCAGATTGGTAAGAAAATGGAGGAGTATATTATTTGCAACATGATCAGGAGAGAAATGAAAAATGGGACATAAAGGTTATCTCTTAAAACTTTAATACACTCAGAAACAATAATAATATCAGTAGCAGACATTATATATGTGAAGTCCCTTTCCTTTGCTCTACTGCACTATGCAGTTGTTTCTTCAAAAGATTTGTATAAAATGACATTTAGTAAAATTGCAGTAATTAAAGCAGTTTCAACCTATCAAACATTTTGGTAGTTGTTTATTTCATATACAGCATGATATAACATAATTTATAATATTTGTTAGATTTTCAGAATATACTATTAAAAAAAATTACAACCATGCTTACTTTCCTTTAGTCCAAAGCAGTGATCTAAATGCCAAGATGGTTACCACTTTCAATGTAGAAAATGGCTAATTGAATAACTAAACAATTTAATAATAAAAGCCATCAACAAAAGTGCTTGTTGGAAATGAATAACAAAATAGTTACTTTTTAAAATTTGATTTTTAAAGCTGGATATGTAAATTAGTTATCTCCCCTAACAAAGAACTGTGATGTTAAGCAAGATGTACGACACATACTGGTAAATGTAAATGGTAAAAATGCATTTATTTGATATCAGTTTTACAGGATATTTTACACATGCACAATATTTAACCATAAAGGTTAAATATTGTGCATAAATTTGTCTGAAAAGACTGTCTCTCAAAATAATGTCTTAAGTATACTTAAAAGTTTGAATCATTTTTTTTTTTTTTAAATCATAATTGTTGATTTTCTAAAATGGTTGCCACCCAAAACAAGAGAGCCCAATTCATCCTGTTATTTGACCCTAAGCTGAAGGTTGAAGAGATGGATTCATACCTTTCCTAATAGCGGGTACAAAAGTGAATACATCAAAAGAACTTTAACTCTGCCTGTTGATTCCACTTTCTGTACTAATAACTATTACACTTACTACTCACATAAAATTTAAATGTATACTTGGGTATAATATTTCCATTATGTTTTAAGATTTTTAAATGCTATAGCTTTGGATCATAAGTTACCATCTTATCTTAATATTTGTTTAAATTTAGCACACGATAAATATATCACAATCTGCATATATCTTGTGATTTCTCTTAATTCATTTCCTTTATACCATCAGATGATAAAAGGTAAACAGAAAGAGAGCCTTGAAATAGTGAGAATTAAAGTTAAATGTTTTATTAACTAGCTTAGAAGCCACTCTTCGAACAGACTTTAGGCTAGCTACTACGAAGGGTTTTGAGTCTTTGCCTTTTACCTTCAGCATCCTATGTATGTAAAAGTTATAAGAATTTAGAAATAATAAAATTATTTCCGCTTCATTTAAAATCTTAATTTGGCATAATCTTTCTTCATATACACAACCAATCTCCATAGTTTGTTTACATGTATTTTGTGCACAATTTTTATTTTCTTTTGAGATCACATTTCTTTATGATTCCTTCACATAAAGTCACCCTTAAAAGACAAAACTGAGAAACTATATTTTGAATTCATCACAGTACACGTGTTAGAAAAAGAAGAAAAAACCCATATGAGCAACATACTGTGCCCCCACTTAAGTTTTAACAGTTTAATTAGATGATATCAATTGCAATGAAAAGTGAAATTAAAGTTAAACCTTTAATAAAGAATTATTTTTTAAACCTTTAATTCTGTTTGATATTGAAATTTAACTTTAAATGAGCTATTTATTTAATTTTTAATCACATGTAACTACAGTAATTACTACCCGGTACTTCAGGTTGTTTATGATTCACCAAGACGGACAGAAACAGACACATGTACACTGCACTTTTTCTTTTTTTTTTTTTTTTTTATATAGACTAAAGTCATGCCAGGTTATACATATTTATAAAAATAATTTTGGGCTTGCTTAAGTGCTTGCAATTTTATATATCACATACTTACTCTTCTTGACAATTATTTACACAGTCACCAGAACAACTTGAGCTAATAAAGAAATCTATCAAAATTAGTATCCATTATTTCAGAGATAAGTATCCAAGCTCTTAAGTTTATGTAATATTTCATGACATGAATTTTTCAGTAAATAAATATATAGTCAAAGAAATAAATGTTGGTGGAGTTATACAATCAGCGCTGTGACCAGACATGATTTTTTTTTCAAAATATTTTTCAAATGACTATAAATTAAGTATCCCAGATCACAAAAAATTATTTTTTTTTATAATAAAAATTGAAGATAGGATGCAGTTGTAAATTGATCCCCCCATGAAAATAAAAACAAAATGTTAATACCACATGATTTCATAAACTGTAAAAAAACAAAAAAAAACAAAACAAAAAAAACTTTGAATTCGTAATCTGATGTTCTATTTTTAATATTTTAATGTCAATTAAGCACTCCAGATTACAAATTAAAAAAAAAAAAATTTTTTAATTATTTTAATAAATCATATATTTTTTTTTCTTCTGTGGGGTGATCAGTTTACAATGATAAAAAACTAGCCCCCACCTGCTAACTTTTATAAAATTTAATTAAAACAAATAAATATTGTAATTGAGAGAGCTTAATCTATAGTAATACCAGAAAAACAAATGATTATTTCTTGGTACAATGCCTATTGGACAATTCCACCATATTATTTTTATTCCATAACTGAAATTTTTAATAAAAGAAAAAAAAAAGAAAGAAAAAAAAAAAAAGGTCATTTCCAGACATTTCAAGTTCAGAGAGCCAAAATTAATCCCTTAATATCCCTAAATAGAAAAATGAGTAGTGCACAAAAAAAAAAAAAAAAAAAAAAAAAAAAAAGGATTAATTTTTGGTATCTTTACAGCTATATCGATCATGTAGCATTATTTCTTTGCTCATCTTGCTATTTAAATTAGATGAAAAAAAAAAAAAAAAAAAAAATTCTTGTTAACATTATCTACAGTTCTCATAGGTCTTGGATATTATTAATAATAGGGTTAAATCCCCAGGCCAGGATTAATAATGTTTCCTAAATATATTAGGAAATAAAAATGAAGAGTCAGGGTTTTCTCTGATGTATACAGTTGTTGTTGGTATGCGGCAAGGTAACTTTGGAGACACCACAAATGAAAGAAAAACAAAATTATCAAATATTTGATGATATAAACAGCTAAATTCCTAATAAGCTGTTAGTATCAACTAGTGATTTCTAGAAAGAATTTTAATTTATTTTTGTTACTTTGTAACTGATCATTTTCTTATGGATATTTTCTTGTAATACAACCATTGAGAGAGGTATAGCCATCAAATAGAGGAACACATCTTTAAGCTAGATAGCTACTCCTTAATTCTCAAGACTGTAAACTTAACTAAATATCCTTGGAGAAATATTTAGTGACACAGTCAGTAGAAATAGAAGGTTATCAAATGTCATCTTCCATGTATATGTACTATTGATTTTTTTTTTTTTTTTTGAATCCATTAGATGACTAAAACTGTTCAAATATAAGAAGGAGAATGCTTGACACCTGTCCTCAAACTTACGTGAATAACCTATTATAAATTTCTCAAGTAGTTCAATTATGTCAGTAAAGTTTAATAATCTGTAAGTTTTTGGCTGAAAGCTCTGTAAATTTTTACAATTTTCACAAAGTTGCTAAAATTCATGCATATCCATTAACTTGATATAGACAAGAGAATAAATGCAAGAGAGCAAACTGTATTTAAAAATACTCAGTGGTAGCTTTTCTTTAAATTACTGCATCATAGGATCAAAAGATCAAGAACAAACTTGGGTCTAGACTTAGATTTTTTTTTATTTTCCTGATAAACTCATTTCTTTCAGTGTGATAAAATCATTTCAAAATAGAAACACTTAACCAATGAATTTTTCTATACTTTCATCGAGTAGTAGAGTCTAATCTTAACACCTACACAAGCACAGATAAAAGGTATTTCTATACACCAGGCAACAGACTCATAATTCAACATTTTGTGGGACTGGACAATGAGAAACTGGTATAAACAATTTATAATAGTGTCTAGTTTCTGCCTTGCTTTGATATTAACAGTTTTTAAAATCTTTCAACCAAAAAAAAAAAAAAAATATTGATGAAGGCAATAGCCCAATGTAAATAGTGTAAATAATACAAAATTATATAGCTTGGATAGTTTTGTTCTTTTTGTCTTAAAATAAAATGTAGTCAGAACAAAGTAACAAATCATGTATACACTGGCAAATGAGCAAAAATTATAATTTTTACAAACAATAAGATACGAGTAGTATTACCTTATTTTTTTAGATGAAATGTTGCCAACTCTCAATCTAATTTTTTTTTTTTTTTTTACTAGTATTTACTTTTTATTTAACCTTTAACACTCTGTAGGTAACTATTTTTGCCAAGTAAAATGTTAGTCCTACCAATGGAAGTTAAATTTGAATTTCTTGGTTGTGTATTTATATCCTTCTATGGCAACACCTAAAACTCTTGGTTGAAATTGAGAGCCAGGCTACTAAAATTTCAAATATATAGAAGTAATATAAAAAAAAAACACTATATTTTAAGAGGATTCCTTATACAGTAAAAGTGGACGATTTATTTAAAGATGATGTAGAGTGGTAAATACTAAACAACCTGTGAAAATCTTTTGTTGGACATAGGTCTTCTCAGTGTATCTTCTCCTTCACTCTTCATGAGCCATTACTCCATCTGTGCTGGCCCAATGCATGTTGGTATGGACTGAGAGCACCTGGTATTCGCAAGCAGTCACCTATCTATGTACTGACCTGGTTCAACATTGCTTAACTTCAGTGATCAGATGAGAGCCAGTATTTCAACATGGCCATAAACTAATCTTAACTTAGTTGCTTTTTATTCCAACTTTTACACAGCTTGTCCATTTATAGCAGTGATTGAGCTTGACTTTCTGCAAAATGGGCAACTTTTCAAAGCTTATCAGTTGAAACAGCTAGTATGTTTAAATCAGGTTTCCCTGAAGCAAAAAGGACAGGAGTTCAAATCTCACCAAAAACTTATCTTATTTTCAATCTAGACCTGTCTACTCAGTACTGTAAATTGACAACTATAATAAATTCTCTTTTCAGGACCCTACTCTTATGAAAAGAGAAAATTAAATTTTTTTTTTTTAATGTTTTAAATTGGTCACTGACAAAAAAAAAAAAAAAAAAAAATTATATATACCTGGATCTTAAAACTATTTCCATAGAAAAATATATATAAACAAAAAAATCTGGATATTTTATAGGATAAAAGTTTTATTGCAATCAAGAATGCTGAATGAATGAGAGAAAACTGTAAAGTAATATAGTAACTTGATAGTGACTACTCATTTCTTTATACTGAAAATGAAATGATAATGGTAACAACTTATAAAAATCATAAAATAATGTATTTAATCTTGGTTTGTCAGTCTCAAAAAATGGAGTGAACTAAGATTTCAGACTGACCAGGTTTTTTAAAATTAACTTTTTATCTTCTGCTCTAAATTATTTCTAAATGAATACATGTGACAGAGATACCATGGATTTTAAATGTTGAAGATATTGAAGGTTTATTGGCCAGGTTTAAAACCAGTATTATCTATACATATATAAAGGGAAGTTGTGTGTGTGTGTATGTCTGGTTAAAAGTAAAAAACTACAATAATTACAACAAAATAAATATATATACAGACTCATTATCACTCAAGCCAGTTTTTTTAAAAAAATTATATGATTTGTTTTATCAAGATATTTTAAAATTAAAAATGCATTAGGATGCATTCAAAATTTTCAGAATTAAAAAGTAAGAATGAACGGTAATAATTCTTATTCCCAATTATTATTACCATTCGTTTTTTACTTTTTAATTCTGCTGGTACTTTTGAAATGCTATACATGTATGTATTTTCTAAATTTTTATTCTCTTGAATTTATTTTCACATCTATGCTAAATAAAATTGTAACTTAAAAAAAAAAAAAAAAAAAAAAAAAAAGTGAATATTAAAACAAAGTAAATTTAAACAAAGAATATTAAATACAATTATTTGAAAATGTTTAATATTTATTTATTCAAATATTCGTGTGTGTATGTCCAGCTAAAACTAAAAAAACAATAATTAAATGCAATATATATATATATATATATATATATATATAAGAAGAGAGAAATTTAGTATCACTCTAAATGGCAGTAGTCTATGTGTGTGTATTATTGGCTTATTAATATTTTTCAGCAATCTTATGGAAAATAATTTTTTTTATTCAATCTTTAAAAAATAAACTTCATTGTTTTTTTTGGTTTATAACTAACATAAAAAAGTAAATCATTTTAAATTAAGTTTTATTAAAACAAAACGTATAATGAGCCTTATTTTTTTTTGCAAATTAATTTAAGTAAAATATAGTTAAATTTGTAAAACAAATATTTAACATGACTAATGTTGACCGTAACTCATGTCTCTCCTAATTTTTATTTAACTAAAGTTTTTCTTTCCAAATACAAATATAACTTGAAATTTAAACATAATAGCTTTTCAAAACTAAATTCTCAATGTATCTTGCTTCTACTCCCTTTCAAAATAGCAATTAAATTCATTCACGGAAAAATATTTGCTTCTTTAATGTAATGTTTAAAATAAAACTTTATTTACTTAAAAAACATGTAAATAAACTGAAATTAAGATATATTTAAATATATTTAATTTAATCATTTTTAAAGCAAAAACTATAGTGAGCCTTACTTTTTTGAAAAATAATTATTTACTATTTATTTTGTAGGCGAATTTAGATTTTTTAAGTAAATAAAGTTTTACTTTTAAACATTATATTTTCTGTAAATGAATTTAATTACTATTTTGAAAGAGAGTAAAAGCAAGATACATTGAGAATTTAGTTTTGAAAAACTATTATGTTTAAATTTCAAGTTATATTTATATTTGAAAAGAAAAAAACTTTAGTTAAATAAAAATTAGGAGAGACAGACATGAATTACGGTCAACATTATTTGTATTGAATATTTGTCGTATGAATTTAACTATATCTCATTTAAATTAAGGGGGTCTTTTTGAATAAAAATATGGGGAAGTCCATGGTATTTGAGATTTTCCTAAATTTAGTTATTTTGTAACAAACCAAAAAAACAATGTAGATTATTTTATAATGATTGATTAAACAATTATTTTCTATAAGATGATTGAAAAATACAAATAAATTTTCAATAATAAACTATTATTAGAGATCATCCAAGCAATGCTGGGTATCCCCACTAGTTTCTCTATAAGACTCACTTGTATTACACTTAGAATTTTCAGCCTGCAAACAGTCAGTATTAAATATTGCACTTTTGGCTGACTACTGTTAGTGTCTTTATTGTCTAAATGAATAAAGCTTTAAATTCCATAGAAAATTGCAAAAGACATCTAGAGCAGTTCCTTGTTGACAAAGAAACAAAAAAAATAATTTTGGAAGAAAGGAATTATGAACCTACTTGAAAGAAGGCAGAAGATTGTGGAATAAAACAAATATGTTATGCTTTTTATTTTTTTATGAGATGAAGCATTGTTAGCCATTATTAATTTTTGACAAGTATATTTTGTTCATTTGAATTGTTTGCTTTTCATTGCAATTATTCCAGTCATCAGTAAACAGAGCACATTGGAAACAAGTTCCTTGTGAGAGACTCACATATAATTGTCTTGAGAACCTTGGTTAATGGTATCAGCTGTTCTGCTGATTGCGCTAAAAGAAATTTTACAACTGTCAGAGGATAAAAATCTAACTTCTATCTTTTTCAGACGATACTTGTTAGTTTTTTGGGGTTTTTTTTTTTTTTTACACTACTCCTAGTAGTAGTAATAGTAATAAAAACATCTTTTTTTTTTTTTTTGATTAGGAAAAGATTAATTTGTTTTTACTAGTGTTTCTTTCATTTTAACTATTGTTGTTTTTCATTGCAACTATTCTGGCCGCCATTAAGGAGATGAGAGTTCAAGTACTGCTAGGAATCTATTCTTTATTTCTGATCTCTGCTGTTTACTGAAGGCCATAGAGTGACAGTTTAAATATATGATAAATATGTTGTTCAATAAAATATATAATATTTTCATTGACAGTGAACTAATGTTTTGGTTAGCCCATTACAAATAATATCAGTGAAGATGTCACATTAATTGTTATAAATTGCATTAATTATACAGGTGTAATAAAACTGAAATAGGAGTTTGTGTTTGAATCTTAATCTCAGCTATTCTAGGTATTTCTTCATCAATTTGTATGATAAACAACTGAATTCAAAATACATCTCAAACAAACTTTGCAACAATGCCTAACAGCAGAATAATAAAACCTTTCAATATATTTGCCATTTTAATTCAGCACTGCAGATTAGAAATGTATTTAGATTCATTCTACTTTGGTACTCAGGTTTGCTTTTAGTTCAGAGTTATTAAATATTTTTTACTGGTCTTATGCTTTATCTTCACAATTGAGAATTAGTGACAAAAGAAATGTTTTCAATATTAACAACTTTCCAATCAGCTTTTAATGTTTCCAATTTTCTTTTCTTGACAACCAAATTTTTACATGGATTTGAAGTTTTAGATTGAAAGCAAACAGAACAAACTCTTTCTTTTCTGATTTAAATATTCAAGTTTGTAGAAAATGCATTTAAATCTTGACTAAGCCCTGTTTAGAAGTAGACAAAAATCAAAATTTATTTTGCATATACAAGGTCTGATCAAAATGTATTGGGACTGTTGCTTTGGTAACAGAGCTAAAGTATGCAAAATGAAGCTGCTTGGCACGGATTTACCTTGAACTGTTGTGTATGCACACTAAGTCATGTTTTCACTCACTTCCATTGCTTATAGCAGTACTTGAAAGGAAAGTGTGTAGAGTGTGGTAGTTTTATCACACAACACACATTCCATCAGTGACCATGGCGTGTGAAGCATTTTTTGACTAAGGACAACATTCCCCAGGTCTGACAACCACCATATTCCCCAGATCACGACCCTTTTGCGACTTTTCCCTCTTTCCAAAAATCAAATCCCACTTGAAAGGAGCAAGATTTCAAGATGTTGAGGAAATCCAAGAGAATGTGATAAGAAAACTGCTTGTTATCTCAAAAAAGGAGTTCAAGGAATTCTTCCATCAATGGGAATGAGGATGGATAAATTGTGTGGCTTCAGAAGAGGACTATTTCGAAAGAGATTAAATGCTGAATTAATGTCTTGTAGTTTTCTTTTTATAGCACCAGTCCTGATACTTTTTGGTCAGATGTTGTATTCAGTTCACAATCTATTCTAATTGTATCTAGTTTCAATTTTTACCTTTTCAAAGCTCTGTTGATTCTCGTTACAAGGAATCACTGATCAATATGACCAATTATGCAGGAACAGAATCAAACACATGTAATATTTTGTCCTTTTTATACAATTCCACAACCACTTTTAAGGGTCAGAAATTATGGTCCCAATGTGTTTCATTTAAGTAGAATCTACCGCATACTGAAAGGAAAACTAAAATTGATAGAAAGATTAGAATATTTTAATTGTTACCCAATTGACTCTTTTGCTCTGATATATGTATAGCATCAATGTGTGAAGTAGAACTGAGTTGCCTTTAATTTTGTCTGTTGGCACATATATACCACAGTTAAAGTGACCTCAGTTCCTGACATTTCTTTTTCTTATAACTTGTGTAAAATTTCTTAAGAAAAAGAAAACTTTTTTTATCTTATAAATGGACAATTAGGTGATTCACTTTAACCTTCATTTGCTTTGTTTGTGATTGACTAACATACTTATTTACAGAGCTTACCCTCTCTTCAAGAAAGCCATACTTGC